AAAAAAAAAAAAGACATATGTTCAGGGGCTATGGCTGGAGGCCTGAAGGTGAGGTAGGGTTCACCTAGCCCTACCCCATTCCTCAGCTCTGAGAATGCTGGGTAAAACACAACTTTATCTATTCAAAATCAATTTACTGTTATTTTACAAACTAACCTAACAAGCACCATGGGCTGGTTTTGCAACTGCAAATTGGAGGAGCAGGATGGAAGGTGGAAACTTTGACCCTGTAGGATCTAAGGCTCTTAATAACCTGGGTCCAGCTAACTTTCCCAGCCTAACTCACCCATACCTCCATACTCGCTTCTTCTTGCCAGGAAAACCGCAGTAACCTTTGTATACATGTTATTTCTGCATACACCTTAGTAACCCATCTGTTTGACTTTTGGAGGGGAGGATAGGCTATTTCTTGGGCAACTCTCTGAACTTTGTGCTGTGAGGCTGGCATGAAGGAGTCAGTTAGGGACCTGGCAGTTCTCTTAGATCTCTCCATTTTACTAGCCTGTAATCATTACATATGTAGCTTTCATTATTACCGGTCCGAAAAGGTCACAAAGCATTTCTCTAGATTTTATTGCATTCACAAAGGGGAAGTATTAGAGAAATTACTCTCCCTGAATGGTCTATTCCATGAATCTGGTCTATTTCATCTGCCATTCCCTGAATAGGGCATCTCTCCATCTTTGCTTGCACAGTCAGCTGGGCATGGGAGATCTTTGCTTTCCCCCTAGTGAAATTTCAAGTTTCACCCCCCACTGTGAAGCCTTCCCGGATCCCCTCTATACAGTGTCCTCTGCACCTGTATGCTGTGCCAATTTCCCCCACATCCTGACTGCGGGTTCCTTAGGAAAAGGACTCAGTTTTGAAATCTCCTGCAGCCGGCCCAGCACCTGGCTCACAGTGGGTGTGAATGAATGAAAAAAAGAATGGTGAAGGAGGATGATAGACATCACAGTGAGCATGCTGGAATAGGGTTTCCCTGGGAAAGAGACACTGAGCCCAGGGAAGGAAGCAGGGAGTAAGAGGATGTCCAGGGCTGGTACCTGCAGAAAGGCGGCCAACACAGCTAAGCCCCTGGGGCGCCCCAAGGCTTCCTCAATTTCGTCAAATGCATTGCTGAGGTGGACCACGTGGATCTGGAGAGTAAGGAGGGAGGAGTGGGCAAGCTCTTCAGACCCTCACCCTCCATCCCTCTTCACTCTCTGCAGACAACTGGGTGCTCACCTCGGCAGGGAAATGGTGGCCACCAACGGTGTGCTCTGAGCCCGGGCGATCTGCAGCCCCCCAGTGCAGATGCAACTGCAGGGCTCGGTACTCCTGCCCAGGACCCAAGTTCATCTCCAGCCCGGGCGGCAGAGTCAGCTCCACTGTGGCGAGAGAGGCAGGTGAGCCGCGCCGTTCGCCCCCGCCTCCGCCCCTCCCCCCCGGCCCGGGGGACCAATCTAACCCCAGCACCACCCCGTACCCCAGGCCCTCCACTACCCTCCTCCGAGGCACTGCAAGGAGACCCCTCACCGGTGTGGCCATTGTTGCGGAGACGTAGCTCTGGGAGAGACGGGAGCTCGAAGCCCAAGATCTCGGGGGGTCGCAGGGCGGGACAAAAGACAGAGAGCTCGGGGCGGATATCTACCGGGGACTGGAAGCGCCCGGCGCAGGCTGCCGACACCTGGGACCAGGACGGGCCACCTGGGGAGGTAGAGGAGGGGTAGGAAGTCTGGTGGCAAGAAAGAACTTTAGGAGAAGCGGGTAGAGAAAGTGAGCGGGGTGGAGTCAGGAGGCCTGGGGCGGGAAATAGAAATCTGGATAGGAACAGAGACTGGCGGCCGCTGGTGTGGGAGGCCAGGGACCCCAGATCGGGCATGATGGCAGGGGGGAGGGGCGTTCACCAAAACTGGGTGCCCAGAAGGGGTGTGCAGGAGTGGGTATCTCACCTCCGTAGCGCCAGTAACTGTGGTCACCCCCTGTATAAAGGAGGATGGAGAGGTTAGTCTTTAGGCTTCCTGCCCTGCCCAATGGCCCAAAGAGATGCTCTCCCCCCACCAGCAGGGGGTCACAAACTCAGATGCTTTTCAGCAGATAACAGAATGCCCCAAGACGGCCAGGTGGAAAGCACAATAATTACAGCTTGCTCTAGCAAGGATCCTACTGGCCCCTGAGATACCAGTTGCAATCCCTGTCTTAGGGGGGAGGGGGCAGGGAGGCTGGGGACTCATTCCCCAGGCCCAGATGACTATACTACCTGTCCTTCCTTCCTCATCTCTCCCCTTCCAATCCCTCCTGGTCTTCCAGTCCTTTTCCAAATCCAAATTTCCTGGCTTGGGAGCAAGATGCCAGGTCCTGGTCCCTGCATTTCCCTCCTTCCAGATCTGTTTCTAGTCTGCAGCTGGAGAGAGCTCATCTCTACAAGCCCTGCTCACTCCCCTCTGGCCCCTGTCTTTGTTACTTCTCTCCACCTAGGTTTTCCCATCCATATTCTTCCACTCTCTTCTCCCCAACTCCCCCTTTCTCTTGCTACTCACTTCTCCATCTGTGCCCCTTTTTGTCTCCCCACCCAATCTCCTTCCCAGCTCTGAGGGGGGACAGGCTTAGTGGGATGGCTGCCTTGGGTGTTGGGGGGTTGGTGTGGGGGGCTGCACCTCTCCTTCCCTGAATAATGCCTGCCTGGGCTGGGGCTTACGAGGGGGTTGAGGGACACAAATTTCCTGGAGCCTGGATTTAGAGGGCTTGTGGCCACTTACCTTTGTGGTCTCTGTGTGCATTATTCTTGGGGTCCTGAGCGTACCCAGGATACACAGTAGTTGGTAGATCTTCTATCCTCAGCGTGTCCTCTGCTCCTGGCTCAGCCTTCATTTCAGGTGAGTCTTCCTGTCTGGGTGGATCCTCTTCACTGGGCAGATCTTCCTTACCTAGAGGATCATCTTCCCCAGATGAATCTCCTCCCAAGAGCTGAGTCTCTTGCTTCTGGGCCTGGCCCTGGGGATGGGCAGGCTGCAGGATCAGCAGTAACAGCAGCAGTTGCACAGTGGGGCCTGAAGCTAGGACAGGGATCGAGAGAGGGAACAAGGAGCAGGGGCACAGGGGAGCCATGTGGCTGACTGTGGGGTGTTCCGGACACGGTGTGTGCGGGTGTGTACGGGCTGTACGTGCATTGGAAACAGGAGCTGGTGGGGGAGGAGCAAGCCTGGAGGGGAGCAGGCTGACTCAGAAAGTGCCCTTTTGTAGAAATGGAGCCAAAGTCCCGAGAATCTGTCTGGCCCTGTGCCCCCTTTCTGACACCAAAGCTGGGGTTGGGGGTGGAGTGAGGGGCAGGTATATGTGCAGGCAGAAGGTTATCGGGGTCACGGGCTCAACCTGGAACTCATGGCACCACCTGGCATTACACAGGCTCTCCCTGGCACCTCCCAGCTGCTCAGCAGCCAACTTCAGCTAGCCCTGGCCCACTTCCCAGCCCCTGGCAGGGAAGGGGAACGAGGGAATTGGGGCCCCCCACATCCTCTGACTGAGAGGAGAAGCAGCCTGTATATACATCCCTGGCCCAGTTAGGAAGAGGGTAAAGGGGTAGGGCAAGCTGCTGGGGGAGTGTAGGTGGGTGGGCAGCTGGGAGGCAAATCTGAGAAGGAATGGAAAGCTGAGAGTATGTATGAGGGGACTCTGATAGATTAAAGTGAATTTATTTTTCACTAGCTTCTCCCACCATGAGCTGAGTCCCTTGCTTCTGGGACTGGCCCTGGGCAGGTTGCAGGCTCAGCAATAATAGCAGCAGCCGTACAGCCTGGCCTCACGCTGGGACCTAGATCCACAGAGGGAACAAGGGGCAGGACACAGGGGCTTCTGCTCAAATTGGCTTCTTTGCCTCTCACCACCTGCCAAAGAATCTGCCCATCTTCTCCATCTATCCCACAACCAAGTCCCTTCAAAATCTTCCCCAACTGGACCTTCCCTGGTGGCGCAACAGGTTAAAGCGCAGCACTGCAAAGCAGCAGCCACTTCACTGGGAGTTCGATTCCCCCACCAGGAAGGTGACCCACATGATCCAGCAGACCTCTATCCTGTCTTTCCTGCTGCTCCCCTCAGCAGTGTATTTCAGTCAGTCAGCCTGTTCTGCTCCCCACTCTGTCTCTGGTGAATCCCCTGGTTCTGTGTGTGTAAATAAATAAATAAATCTTTAAAAAAAATCTTCCCCAACAAATTTTTGCAACTCATTTCATGGGCTGGTGTCCCTCATATTCCTGCTAGATCAAGCGACTCATGATTCCTCCAAGTCTTTTACTACCTCTGTTCATCCAGTTCTTGCTGCCTGGAATGCCATCCACTCTTACATTCAACAATTGCTTTTTAGCACCTACTGTAAGTCAAAAACACTGGGCTGTGGACTCACGGCAGCGAAGTGAACAGACATTGTTCCCGTCCCCTGAGTAGGTAAGTGGCTAGTACATGACAGTAAACACTTCTTCAAAGAATAGTTAGGGGAGAGAGTTGAATTCTGCCCAGAAGGCAATACAGAAGTAGGCAAATTTGAGCTGATACTTGATGAAGTAGCAGTTCAATTAGAATAAACAATGAGAGAATGGTATTCTGCGCAATAAACAATTTAAGCAGAATGATAGAATCCAGTTCTCATAGCAGGTCATAGAGAGGTCTGGTGTGAGAGGAACCCAAAATTGGGCTCAGGGTTCCCAGTCTGTCTGTGTCTATTCACTGAATGGACACTTACTGAACCGCCTACAGTGCTCTGTAGCAGAGAGCGGACCTTTCGGGTAGAACTGGGTAGGCCAGAGGGGCAGGGGGTGAGAGGATACACTAGAGACAAAGTGGGGAACAAAACAGGCAGACTGACTGAAATATACTGCTGAGGGGAGCAGCAGGAGAGACAGGAGAGGTCTGTTGGTCCATGTGGGTCACCTCCCTGGCAGGGGATTGAACTCGGGTGGGGCAGTGATAATGCTGAGATTCAATATGGCTCACATTCAGTAGTATGCACCAGTATGGTTATATAGATTAAACAATATATATTGAAATACTTCTCATCCTGTTGGCAGCTAGTCCCTTGCCCTGGGGTGTTCTGCCACTGTGTCATCTCTGAAGACTCTCCTGAACTCTCCATAATCATTCGCCAGAGAATCCAAAGCAGTAATGACTGGCACGGTGAAGGCCCAGGACCCCTCTTTACTATCTCAACCAACCTGAACTCTGATGGATCAGTACTTCTTTTAAAATTTATTTATTTATGCATACAGAACTGGGGTACAGGCCAGAGGTGCAGGGGTAGGGAGAGGATTCACCAGAGACAGAATGGGGAGCAGCACAGGCAGATTGACCAAATACACTGCTGAGGGGAGCAGCGGGCAGGTCAGGAGAGGTCTGCGGCGCCATGTGGGTCACCTCCCTGGCCAGGGATGGAACTCACTCATGCTGAAGCAGCAGCAGCTAGCGTTGTAGTGCTGTGCTTTAATCTGTTGCACCACAAGGGAGGGCCCCTGTTGGATCCATACTTCTGTCCCCAACGCTCTGCTAAGTAGTTCTATTATCTCTGCTGCCTAAATCCCTCATTTCAAGACAGCTCAAAGACCATCTCTCTAGGAAGTCTTACTCGACCATTTCTGTACCACAGGAAGAAGTTTCTGGTGGCTTGGCCAGCCCTCCCTAATAACCTTGCCCACTGTCTAACTCACATTAGCACGATTTATGACTTTTATCTACTCTAATAAAGTTAGAGTCCAGTGTTTGATTGGTTGATGTAATTCTTTATTCAACAGCCATTTTTGAGCATTTCTCTCTAGAGGTCACCTTGCCAGAACTCGAGAAAAACCAACTTAATTAAGACAAGGAACTTGTTGTCAGCGAACTATTCCAGGAGCATGACATCACATTTTCTTTTTTAAAGATTTACTTATTTATGCATACAAGAACTGGGGTACAGGCCAAAGGTGCAGGGGGTGAGAGGACTTACCAGAGACAGAGTGGGGCGCAGAACAGACTGAAGTACACTGCTGAGGGGAGCAGCAAGAAAGGCAGGAAACATCTCCTATGATCTCTGCTGCTTTCTTATAGCTTTTTTTTCTTTTAGCATTTCTGAGCCCAGATGCATTTCTGGCTCTAGATGCAGATTTGTGGGAGCTCCCAAATTTTCCAAATGCCCCTGGTGGCTTACTTCCCAGCTATGGATTGGAAGCAAAGACATATCAAAACCCTTGGAGCCTGGTGGCTGACACTTAGCTTGGCCCCCACCTCTCTTTCTCTATCAGTTTCCTAGAAGTGCTACAACTAATTGCCATGTGGGTCCCCTCGAGATAACTTCATAGTGCTGCCCTTAACCTCTTGTGACACCTGGGAAGCCCCCAGCATCACTTTTTAAAAATTATTGTTTAGTAGAAGAACTGGGGTCTAGGCCAGAAGAGTGAAGGGTGAGAGGATTCACCAGAGACAGAGTGGGAAACAAAGCAGGTTGATCTACTGAGGGGCCAGACAAGAGAGGTCTGCTGTGCCATACATGGGTCAGCTCCCTGGCCGGGGATGGAACTCAAGCTGTAGAGGTGATGATTCTGAGACTCAATCCCTAGGCCACCAAGGAGGCCCAACATCACATTTCTATGGCTCCCCAAATTATCGGTCTGTCAGGGTGACTAACAGTCTGGTTGTATACCAAAATCTGTGCAACCAAACAGATGTCCTCTATTCATTTCAGCAGGAAGTCAGCTATGCAATCTATATTGTCATTCTTGGAGCCATTCAGAGCCACCCTTGGCAATGTGACACAGCATGCTCCCTGGGTGGTCACTCCTTATCTTGGTTAGCTATTTAGCCAGCACTTTCTTGGACCCTGACACATTAAAAGTACACAGTAATATCTGAATTCGGTGGACATGGACAAGATGGAACTGGTCACTAATCCAGCTGAGGTAGAAGAGGTCATAAGAAACACAGAGGACAGAAACACCATGCCAACTGGAGTCTATATGCCTGAAGATCATTCTCCAACACCACTGTCACTGTTCCTCTTTCCAGAAGTTCCATGTTTCTTTTTCCTTTTTAAGATTTATTTATGCCTACAGAAATGGGGTGCATGCTAGAGGTGCCCGGGGATGAGAGGATTCACCAGAGACAGAGTCAGGAACAGAACAGGCAGATTAACTGAAATACACTGCTGAGGGGAGCAGCGGGTGAGACAGGAGAGGTCTGCCACGCCATGTGGGTCAGCTCTGGGGCAGGGATTGAACTCGTGCTGCAGTGGCTGCAGAAAGCTTCAAAGTGCTGTGCCAGGGAGGGCCCTTCTTTTTCCTTCTTAGGCACCCTTTCCTAGTCAGGATCTTGTGCGTACATCTCTGTGGCACTCTGTGTCTGACCTCTCCTTACCATCTCTTAGATGCTTTCTCTCAGCATTTCTGAGCCCAGGTCTGCTCTGATGCAAATCTGTTAGAGTTCCCAAATTTTCCAAATGCCAGTCTCCACAAAGTTCTTCCCTGTGCTTTGTGTCTCTGCGTGTGACTCTGTCTCTGGTCTGGGTGGGGAATTTGGACTCTGATCCTGGATTATGCCTTTGCAGCTGGGAGTCTGCCAAACCCTAAAACACGTTTGAGCTCCCAGAGTCTTATTTCCTGAGTCTGAGTCTCCCTGGGTTGGGACAGTGTGTACCCAGGGGCCAACTGCCTGTGGCACCCTTGGGCTGATTCCTGACCTCTCTGTGGTTAAGGCCAAGCCTTTGGTCATTGGGTTATGGCCTTCAGACAGTGAGGGGCCTTGCTTCCTAGTTGTAGATTGGGAAGCAGAGACATATCAAAGACCCTCCGGGGCCTGGTGGCTGACCCTGACCCTTAGCTTGAGTCCACCTCACTTTCTATGTTAGTTTCCTAGAAGTGTCATAACAAATTGCCGTAAACTCTGTGACTTAAAACAACAGAAATTTATTCTTTCACAGTTTTTTTTTTGTTTGTTTTTAAGATTGCGCCTTGGTGGCGCAATGGGCTAAAGCACAGCACTATGAAACTATTGCAGCCACTGCAGCAAGAGTTCGATCCCTGGCCAGGGAGGTGACCCACATGGTTTGCCTGCTGCTCCCCTCAGCAGTGTTTTTTCAGTTCATCTGCCTG